CGGGCAGTGGGACAGCGGCAGTGAGATCGGGCAGTGGGACAGCGGCAGAGTGAGACTCTAGGGGAGGCATGGCAAGGATTGGAAAGCCCTGAGTGGGACTGTGGCAGTGCAATGGAAAGTTGGACTCTCTTAATTTTTCTTTTCTTATTCTAAGTTAATGTAAATGACGCCTTGTACGTATGGCGAAGGTACACACTTTTCACTGTATTTTTACATTGAATACGCGTGACAATAAATGTGTATATCTATGTATAAATTTTAAAAATATATAATGGGTCTTTTCCAGGTTAGAAAGTTGTAACTAGTGAAGGACCCCAATTATTACTATCTATATTCCTGACTTGGAGGAGGAGGCAGAGTGTAACATACCAAATTTGTTAATGATGCAAAAAAAGTCGGTAGGATGGCATGTTGCAATGAAGACTTAAGGAATTTGCAAGGAAATATAGATGGGTTGAGTGAGTGAGCAAAACTTGGCAAGTGGAGTTCAAATTGGAAAGTATGAAGTAATGTACTGTGGCAGGAATAATCATGAGACAGGTTATTAGTTAAATGGAGAGATTCCAAAAAAAAGGTGCAACACAGAGAGATCAATGTGTTCTTGTGCATGAAATACAAAATGTTAGCATGCAGCTTCAGTAAATAAGAATTTTAAAATGGGGAATTCTTGTTACAGGGTGTTGTTGAGGCTGACTGTCGAGTACTGTGTACTATTTAAGTCCCCAAAGAATGGACAGAAAGGAAGTATTGGCATTGGAGGCTGTTCAAAAGAGATTCACTCGGCTGATTTGTGGGATGTAGGTGTTGACTTATTGAGAACAGCTAAACAGGTTGGGCCTTTATTCATTAGAGTTTAGAAGAATGAGGTGTTACCTTATTCAAATATGCAAGACTCTCTAATGGGTCTTGACAGGGTAAAGGTCACAATGATGTTTCCACTTGTGGGGGAGTTTCAAACTAGGAGACATAGGTACAGAATAAGGGGACACTCATTTAAAATGGAGATATAAAGGAATTTCTTCTCCAGAGGGTGGTGAATGTCTGGAATTCTCTACCCCAGAGAATTATGGAGGCTGGATCACTGAAAGTAGTTAAAGAGGAGGTAGACAGATTTTTTTAAATATTGAGGAATTGAGGGTTATGAAGAGTGAAAGAGGAGTTGAGAACTGGGGCAGATCAGCTGTGGTCTTCCATAGAATGGCAAGGCTGGACTGAGGGGCTGAATGGCCTACTCCTGCTCCGAGTTCTTATGTTACATTCATATTCAAAATTGGTGTTGAAAAATAGCATATGATGTCCATTAATATAACTTTAAAATAATCTTAAATAAATTACCCATTTAATACAGTCATTTTCAAACTAGGTTCAGTGGGTACCACAGACCAGAAAGGAAAATGATTTATGAACTAGTTAAGAGGAAGGAAGCAGAGTGAAACTGTAAATAAAACTAGGTTGAAATGAGGGGAGGCATTGAGTGTGTGCTCTACAGTTGAATGAAGCACATTGGCTGATCCTCATTTATTTGAATGAGTTGGGAGGGACAGTATAATTCTAAGTGCATAATGTTCATGGCTAACACTTGGCAGGGGAAGAAAGGATACTGGAGAAAATAAGAACTTTCAAATAGAGGGGACATTAGGGCATTTTCATGTTAACTGAGCAGGGGTGCCTGGACAATGGAAAATCCATCCATGTGTAAGTCTTGAGTACTGCTTGGATTTTCCAAAGGGAAATTCAAAAACATGGAGAGATCGCTTGGTCCACTCTCCTTTCACCCCTGACACCACACCAAGTGCAAGAAATGTAACATTTACCCTTTAGAATCCCTACAGTGTGGAAGCAGGCCATTTGGCCCATTGAGCTCACATCAACCCTCCAAAGAGCATCCCACCTAGAGCCACCCTCCTACCTTATCCCCGTAACCCTGCATTCCCTATTGCTAACCTATCTAGCCTGCACAATTCAGCATGACCAATCCACCTAACCTGTACATCCTTGGGCTGCAGAAGGAAACCAGAGCACCTAGAACAAAGACGTGGGGAGTATTTGCAAACTCCACACAGACAGTTGCCCAAGGGTGGAATTGAACCCAGACCCCTGGCACTGTGAGGGAGCAGTGCTAACCACTGAGCCACTGTGTCACCCCTTTAAGTGCTGCCTTTCCACAATCCATGCTCCCAAATGCCCCTTTCAGGTGACATAGCAGATTACATGTACATCTTTCAGTTTACTGTAGATTTCTTTGAGGCACAAAATCTCAAAAGTGACACAGCTGTAGCTAATGAGAAGCTAAGGATTGCTTTAGATCAAACAAAAAGGCTTTAAAAAGTTGCCAAAAAGTATTGAGTCTGAGGACTGAGAACATTTTAGAAGTTAGCAAACAAAAACCAAAAAAGCTTCTATAGATATGTGAAGAAGGAAAGGTTAGCAGAGAGACAAACCTTCTCAGGAATATCAGAAAACTAAAGATGAGGAGCTGAAAGAAATTAATATTGCAAAAAGCTTGTAAGTGATAGCAAGACCACACATTCATGGCGAGTGACAGGGCTTGCATTAAGTAAACCTGCTCCTGCTGAATCTTCCAAGTTGGCAGAAAAATACTCCAGATGAAAACCCACTGAGATACAACTGTGTCACTTGAAAATTTGCCCAAGTTATTCAAAAAGAAGCATGCCTTTTCCAGCTTTTTCTGAGGTAACTCAGAAAGCTAGAAAAGTTGGATACTGGATATTTCTTGATCTGTTGTAAATCAGCAACAAGTTCAGAAACAGCTGAACGAAGACAGCAAAGGGAGACCAGGGAACAAGCAAGTCTCTACGTTCCTCATATAGTCCGAATGACTACAACAATGGGCTTCTCCTTGTGTTTTACTCCTCAATGTGTGTCTCTTACCCTACACACAGGCTTCCCTGCCAGGAGTGAGCCTGACTGATAGGCTTGGCAGGGAGAGGGGACACAGCAGCAAGTTGCAGGAGTGGGTACGTTTGATGCCCAACAATCTGCTGGCCCACAGCTGCTCCTGCTGTGGCATTAAGCTGCTGCCCAAAACTGCCCCTCAACACACAAGTGCCCAAAAGCTTGGGAACCCCTGCAGTCCACTGCACGCAAAAGAGAATAATTCTGATATTGCCAGCCTCTTTGACATATTTTAATTTGCCAATCTAACACCTGGAGCAGGGTGGCTAAGGGTAGGGCATAGGTTTAAGGTGAGTAGGGAAAGATCTAGAAGGGACCTAACAGGCAAGTTTTTCACACAGAGGGTGGTGCATGTATGGAATGAGCTGCCAGAGGAAGTGGTAAATGCAGGTACAATTACAAATTTAAAAGACATTTGGACAAGTACATGAATAGGAAAGGTTTAGAGGAATATGGACCAAATGCAAGCAAATGGGACTAGTTAAGTTTGAGATACCTGGTCAACATGGACATGTTGGACCAAAGGTGTTTCCGTGCTGTCCGACTCTAAAACTCTAGCTATCCCTTCACCTTATCTCTGTTAAACAGGGTGAGTTTTGCAAATGTTAATATCTGATTCAATCCTAATTTACCTGACCCCTGGTATTAAAATTCTCCCTGTTATATGTAGTGATTGGAACCAGGTGGATCTTATTGACTATGCGATCCTTGATTGGCCCAGGTTAACAACCCCAATCAGGAAGCCCTGGCTGACTGATATTAACAAGAGATTTAGAATCTCCTCACTTCAGGGACTGACTCTGAACTGGCTAGCCACAGTCAGTATACCATGCATAAGTAAATAAAGAGTGACTTGGTGATGGGATACCAGCCTCCATGCAGTATTTACGTGTATACCAGCCTGGCAGCTGCTGCTACTCACCTCCACTTGATCTTCAAAAGGTTAGCTACGTCAGCACAGAGTGGGACGACACCCTTTCGAGAACTTCTGATAACAAGTGCCACAGCTTTTGATGCAATCTCTTTATCTTCATCCCCGGCATCTATCTCCGAACCACTCCCTGAAGGCAAAGATTTTAGGAACAGGGAAGAGTTTAGTAACAATTCCATTCATTCAGGCTCACAGGACACTAGAACACCAAGCTACAAATCCCTGTGAGAGAGGGGGCTTCATTTACCCCACCCTCTGCAAAACCAGGTTGGAAGGATTCTCTAAGATGTACCTTCCAAAAGATCTGCATTGATAAAGCACTTTGACAGCCCCAGTGAGATCGTTCTGAATCGTGGTCACTGTTATGATATAGGAAACATGACAGTCAGTTTGAGCTCAGCAAGATCCCACAAAAAGCAAACTACCACACTGACCAGATGATCTATTTTTACAAGAGACAAAATAGCCAGGACACCAGGAAAGATTCACCTGGTTTTCCTGAAAATAGCTCTGTGCAATTTTCTACAGCCACCTGAGAGAAGGTAACATTAAAATCTCATCCAAGAGGCAGCACCTCCAACAATAGGAGCAAATTACTGTTGATGCTGGAATCTGTACTGAAAACAAAAATTGCTGGAAATCACAGTGGATCAGGCAGCATCCAAGGGGAGAGAGTAAACTAACATTTCGAGTCTAAATGACTCTTCATCAGAGCTGACATGAAGCATCAGGGACAGCATTTATGCTACAGTGGGTGCGGGTGGAGTGCTGGGGGAGAAAGGGTGTTGATAATACTGAAAGGACTGCGGATGCTGTTTGTCACGAACAAAAACAGAAGTTGCTGGAAAAGCTCAGCAGGTCTGGCAGCATCTGTGAAGGAAAAAAACAGAGTTAACGTTTCGGGTCCTATGACCCTTCCTCAGGGTGTTGATAGTTCGGATTAAGTAACTGGAATATGAGAGAGGCAGACAATGGTGTGTCAAACTGCCAGGCTTGAAAGAACAGACAGTCCCACTGGGATAGGGGGAGGGGAGAGAAGACATGGTGACAGAGAATGTAACAAGTAAAGCTAAAAGAAAGGGAAGGAATGGGAGGGAGTTCACAATTTGAAGGCATTGAACTCAATATTGTGACCAGAAGGCTGAAAAGTGCCTAGTTGAAGATGAGATAGTAGGAACTGCAGATGCTGGAGAATCTGAGATAACAAGGTGTAGAGCTGGATGAACACAACAGGCCAAGCAGCATCAGAGGAGCAGGAACGCTGACGTTTCGGGTCTAGACACTTCTTCAGTTAGTTAAGATGAGATGTTGTTTCTCCAGCTTGTGCTGTGATTCGCTGGAGCATTGCAACATGCCAAGGACAGACAAGTGAGCATTTGAGCAGGACACTGTGTTAAAATGACCAGCGACGGGAAGGTCAGGGTCATGCCATGGCCACATATACCCCATGTTTGCGGACAACCAATTTTTCCAAATATCCGCAAACAGTATGTGCCAGACTCAAACAGCCCTCACGGCACATCTCCAGTCCACTTACAGGACACTGCTACACTTCAACATGGGACTTCAGACTGCATTTTTTCAAAACACAAACAAGGGTGGCACGGTGGCTCAGTGTTAGCACTGCTGCCTCATGGTGCCAGGGACCTGGGTTCGAATTCATCCTCAGGTGACTGTCCATGTGGAGTTTGCACATTCTCCCTGTGTCTGCGTGGGTTTCCTCTAGGTGCTCTGGTTTCCTCCCACAGTCTGAAGGTGTGCACAGTAGGTGGATTGGCCATGCTAAATTGCCCATAGTGTTCATAGATGTGTAGGTTGGTGGGTTATAGGAGGATGGGTCTGGGTGGGATGCTCTGAGGTTTGATGTGGACTTGTTGGGCCAAAGGGTCTGTTCCACACTGTAGGGATTCTAAGAAAAGAATTTTAAACACCTCAAGCAGATCACCCTTTATACTGAAAGGATTACTAGCTGCTAGGTTTTTATGCAATCTGGTTTGTAATAAAACCCTTCAGATTCACTTATCATTCTGCTGAATCTGCCATGCACCTCCTCCAAGGCCAATATTATCTTTCTTGTGGTCTTGGATGTCTTGTGGAAAACTTGTCATGACCCAGTTCTTCATTGTAGCAGTCTGTTTACATCCAGCACATTTGAGAGAGTGCCATCAACTGTACACGGCTTGTCAAGTACAACAAATCAATTGTGCTCTTAATCCTTTGAGTATTAGACTAGTCATTCCCAAAATAGTCATAAACCGCAGGGCTGGTAACCACACCTACAGACACTGGCAGTTTGGGGCCACAATATAACATCATCAGGGCAACACAAAAAGTGAGAGAAAGAGTAAGAATTGGCAAAGGGTGTTGCGGAAGACACCTATCCCTGAAACTGTCTTGCACACTTCTGTAAGCTCCAGACTCAACTCATCCAACACTCTCATGCTCACTCAAACCTTCCCGCCCCCATAAACTGAGGCTCATTCAAAACTTCCCAATGCATGTCAAGTCCCCGTTTACCCATCACACCCTGACTTATGTGGCCTCCGAGTCAAAGTGCTGGCTTTGAAATTCTCATCCCCATTTTCAAATGGCCTCATCTTCTCCCTGTCTCTGAAATCTACATCCAGACCCACAGCCCTCCAAAGTATTTGCCCTCCACTAATTCTGGCCTCTTTAATCACTCCACCACTGGTTTCCAAGTTAAGGGAATCACCTCCCTTCACCTGTCTGCCTCTTTTTCTTCCCTTGTCAATGGCCGTTAATATGTTCCTCTTTGACCAAGTCTTTTGTTACCTGACCCAATATCTTCTCACTTGGGCTCCGTGTCATACATAGTTTCATAATGCTCCGGTGAGATGCTGTATTGGGTTAAAGTTGCAACACAAATGTAACTTGTTAATGTTGTTGTAGTAGATTGGCCTGAGTAAGTCAGCGTTACTCATTTTCACATGTTAAAACCCCACAACTCTGAAACCTGTACACTGATTATTCCCAGTTACAACAATTATAAAGTCATAGAGTCACACAGCATGGAAACAGACCCTTCGGTCCAACCAGTCCATGCCGAACATAATCACAAACTAAACTATTCCCACTTGCCTGATCCTGGCCCATATCCCTCCAAACCTTTCCTATTCATATATCCATCCAAACGTCTTTTAAACATTGTATTTGTACCCGGATCCACCACTTCATCAAGAGGTTCATTCCAAACGCGAACCACCCTCTGCGTAAAAAATTCGACTCTTATGTCCTTTTTAAATCTCTCTCCTTTTATCTTAAAAATGTGCCCCATAGTCTTGAATTTCCCCACCTTAGGGAAGAGACAATTACCATCAACTCTACCTATACCTCTCATTATTTTATAAATTTCTAGCAGGTTTCTAGTCTCACAATTTCGACTGAGTTTTTTGAGGAAGTGATGAAGATGATTGACGAGGGTAGGACAGGGGATGTTGCCTATGTGGACTTTAGCAAAGCAGTTGACAAGGTACCTCGCAAGGCTGGTCCAGAGATTAAGTCACATGGGCAACACAGGTCGATACAGTGGTCAAGAAGGCATACGGCATGCTTTCATTCATCGGACGGGGTATTGAGTACAAGAGTTGGCAGGTCATGTTACAGTTGTATAGGACTTTGGTTCGACCACATTTGGAATACTGCGTACAGTTCTGGTCGCCACATTACCAAAAGGATGTGGATGCTTTGGAGAGGGTGCAGAGGAGGTTCACCAGGATGTTGCCTGGTATGGAGGGCTCTAGCTATGAAGAGAGGTTGAGTGGATTAGGATTATTTACGTTAGAAAGATGGAGGTTGAGGGGGGATCTGATTGAGGTCTACAAAATCATGAGAGGTGTAGACAGGGTGGATAGCAAGAAGCTTTTTCCCAGAGTGGGGGACTCAATTACTAGGGGTCACGATTTCCGGGTGAGAGGTGAAAAGTTTAAGGGAGATATGTGTGGAAAGTTCTTTACGCAGAGGGTGGTGGGTGCCTGGAACGCGTTGCCAGCGGAGGTGGTAGAGGCAGGTACGATAGCGTCATTTAAGATGTATCTAGACAGATACATGAATGGGCAGGGAGCAGAGGGATACAGATCCTTGGAAAATAGGCGACAGGTTTAGATAGAGGATCTGGATCGGCGCAGGCTTGGAGGGCCGAAGGGCCTGTTCCTGTGCTGTAATTTTCTTTGTTCTTTGTTCTTTGGATCCGCAGTGAGTTGGTAAGTTAGATACAATATTGACTTGGTCATCGAATGTGGTGGGTAGTTGGAGAGGGGTGTTTTTTCTAAACTGGAGGTCTGTGACTAGTGGTGTGCCTCAAGGATCAGTGCTGGGACCTCTATTGTTTGTAATTTATATAAATAATTTGAATATAAACATAGGTGGCCTGATGAGTAAGTTAGCAGACGACATGAAAAATTGGTGGAGTTGTGGAAAGTGAGGAAGGTTGTGAAGGAGTACAGCAGGATATGAATCAGTTGGAAAGTTAGGCAGAGAAATGGCAGTTGGAATTTAATCTGGACAAGAGTGAGGCAATGCATTTTGAGAGGAAGGTATACAGTAAGTGGCAGGGCCCTTAGCAGCACTGATATACAGAGGGATCTTGGGGTGCAAGTCCATAGCTCCCTGAAAGTGGCAACACAAGTGGATAAGGCAGTAAAATAGGCGTATGGCATGCTTTTCTTCATTGGTTGGGGCATTGAGTATAAAAGTTGGCAATTCATTTGTAGTGGTATAAGCCTTTAGTTGGGCCTCAACTGGAATATTGTGTGCAGTTCTGGTTGCCACACTGTAGGAAGGATGTGGAGTCTTTGGAGAGGGTGCAAAACAGGTTTAGCAGGATAACAAGATGTAGAGCTGGATGAACACAGCAGGCCAAGCAGCATCATAGGAGCAGGAAGGCTGACGTTTCGGGCCTAGACCCTTCTTGTCTGGATAGAAGTGCAATAGCTATAAGAAGAGGTTGGATAAATTTGGATACTTTTCATCAAAGCATTGGAGGCTGAGAGGCCACCTGATGGAAGTATATAAAATGGATATTCAGCGTATTTTTCCCAGGGGGTAAATGTCAAATACTAGGGGTCATAGATTTAAGGCAAGAAGGGGGAAGGTTTAAAGGAGATGTATGAG